GAACACGAAGGCATAGCAAGAATTTTTGTACATGCATGAATTGGCGTTGATGGTAACGAACTGGAAAGGCGGTTTGAAAATTTGCGGCTCATTTACTGCATCTTGCAATTTGATTCGTAAAGGCCGGGTGAAAGCTTGAACTCTGGTTTAGGGAATCTTTTTTTTTTTTTGGTAATAATATACCAATTAAAGATACTGTACCAACTAGAGGAAACAAGAAGTTATAGGGCCTGATGCCGGGGCACCTTTGTTTCATGACTCATAGCAGTTCTCGCAAGTCATGCCATGTATACAGCTAATTCAACACTGGCAGCCAGCCCTTTCTTCGTACGAAACCTTGAACACGCTCATCACGCATGATATCCCCGCCTGTTCGGGCAGTCACGACACTACGTTCGTGTTCGACGCCTCGTACGTAAAAAGGAAAGCTTAGCCTCTGCATTGCGTCTTTCTCGTCTCTTGTATCGGGTGTGGAGGCGGAAGAAGCCGACGTAGACGGAAGCCGCCAAACAGTCTTGCCCCCTTGCAACCGTTCCTGGAACCCGCATGCTTTTCTGTCCAGCGAGAGATACCATTTCCTCTGGTGAATGCTACCAATGGTGTTGGAAGCGCCTGGGTAGGCATTTGTTCGTCGAATCTCTGCGTCTTCCAGCTCCTGCAGCTCCGCCTCGAGAGCTATCCGGGATACCTCTTGCCCGTTGGCTTGTCTACCCTTGGGAACGAGGGTAGTAGCCTCGTCCTCGTCGTCATCGTCCGCAACGTCGCCAGAGTCAGAACTCGTCTCCGGGTCGGCTCGTTTGACTCTCCTGCGCTTGGTCCTCGGCGCCCTACTGCTTTTTGCCCTGCCCTCCGCGTCCTCCCTCTTGGTGAGCCGCATGTTCAAAATATAAGTCTCTGGCAGCTTGGATCCGTGTAGCTGAAGCCGTATCTTGCGGTTGTGAAACGCCGCCTCTAGCAGCTCCTGCTGCGGACGCTCCTCGTCGTCTGGACTCGGCTGAGAGGAGGGATCTGCTCTAGGCGCATGCTTGCTCATCCTGGGGAGAATGGTATAAGTCCCCGTGTCCCAGATTAAGAGGGAGCCCGTTTGCGGGGATGCCGTTTCGATGAGGTGGTTCCAGAGGGAATGGATACGCGTTTCGGTGGCGTTGCGATTGAGACGGGTGCTGTTCGGGTCTCCGGGGGGACCGTACATTATGGCCCAGGATACGCTACTGCTGGGGTTGATTTGCAGGCGTAGGTCGTAGTGTAGGCCGGCGATGGGGTGGTCGTGTTGATGGATGACGAAGTGGGAGGATTGGCTCGTGAGAGAGCCTGCGTAGAGGGAAGCGTAGCTTGGGATGGGGAGGAGCGGGGCCGGGCAGGGGAGGACGTGGTTTTCTAGATGTGTTGTGAAGTGGGCGAGAGGGTTGGTGATGTGGGCTTTGCCGGATTCTATGGCTGCTGTGGTGGGTGGCGATGGTTTGTTGTTGGTGGTGTTGCATTTTGGCGATGATGGGGCGTTTGGGGGAGAGGACGGGTTCGGGGGCTTGGGCGGAGAGAGGGTCCATTGGAGATTCCGCTTCTTGATGAATGGGTTTGGGATGAGGTCTGCGGGCTGTTTGGCTGCCATTGGGAGGGCTATCAACCTATGTGTGTGATTTCATGGTGACGGCATCCCGACTCCACCGTCGTCTACATGAAGTTGGGTTGGTATGTGGTGATATCTGATAGCGAGCTGGCTGTGGATAATTCAGAACGAGTGCCAAAGGAAAATGGGGATACTAGAGGCAGCCGAATTAACAGAAAATGAGGTATAGTTTAGAGAATAGCAGCTGTAAATGGTGCAAGTGTGGTGTTGAGGTGGTTTGAATTATGTAAGCAATTGGTGTTTTAGGCACGTATTGAGATGGCTGCTTTCGCCACTAGGCAAGTGGAAACTCATCATCTCTTCTCCACGCTTAGGGTAGATCATTGATAGTATGTAATTCGTAGTTATTACACACACTATTTTTAAGCAGCTGGCACTTGGACACCTACGTAGCCCTTCTTTACCTAGTCCTCACATGCCTCCCAGCAAGTGATATGGTTAGTACAGAAGAAGAAAGAAAGAAATTTAGGGGAAAAAAGTGAGAAGAAGCCTTTTTGGTCCTGTTTTTCATGTATGCGTGAAGAACTCAGAAAGGCACTAGTGGGATAATGCCAGGGACAGCTGGGTTGGGCAAGTTGCAGGCTGGATGCCCTCACGACATGCATCAGCGGTGCAAGCATGCTGAATGAGCCACCGAGTCTTCGTCTGCCGGCAGCCAGAGTCTGATGTTCATTTTGCCCCTTCCAGAGATTTGACGGACACACTCATCCTGCATGACGCACCCACGGCCAGGCCGGAGCCACGGCCAAACAAGTGTGAGTGAAGATGCCGAGGCACAGAACCAATGGAGCAACGTGAGCGGCCAACGAACGCGCATGTCCCACTTTTCTCTCCCTCTCTCAAGCCTTTGCATCTCGGGCCCGCGGCTCGGTCACTTGGGCGGGTCCACGGCCGGTGAAGTTGCAGCACTTGAGCAGCCAAGTCCAGTCTTGTCCCCACATCTTCACAAGTCAAACCCAGCGTTCAAGCCTTTTCACCCCAGATTTCCTTATACCGTCGCTCAAATCCACCCTTTGTCTCCCCTCTCCCCGATCCGTGGCCTCGCTGAAGCATCGCATTCATCCTTCCATCTGGGAGTCGATTGTCCTTCTTCGCACACAAGTCTGACCGGTTTTGCCCTTTTGCTGTCAACTCTGCCCTCTCTTGCATATTGGGAGCGCGTCGAGCTTCTTGTCCTCGGGTCGCTCCGAAGTCGCCTCGGAGCTCGCCAGAGGCAGACAACGGCCTTGACGTAGCTGCGACACACTGGGCCTTTTGTGCTTCCCAACTCAACTCGGGATACACCTCTCTTGTCCATCCTTTTCTCCTTAATAATCACATAATCCGCGATCATGGCTTCGCCCCCCAAGCCTTGGGAGCGGCCTGGCGCTTCTGCTGCTGCCTCCAGTACGTATTCTTTGTCTTGACGCCCGCTACGTTCTGACATTTACATGCTAACCACTTGTTCGCCAATAGCTCCTATCCCTTCTACCATAGCCGCATCGCCAGCTGTTGCTGCGAGCACTGCTGCCGCTTCTTCTGCCGCTCCTCCTGTTCCCGACCGCCCTTCTTCCCTCGCCTCCGCCGTTAATCAGAATGCCTCAGCGTACAGCCGCGTGGGCGCCATGGGCATGGGTGCCTCACCATACAGCGCCTATGGCAGTGCGTATTCATCACCGTACTCAAGTCCGTACTCACGGTTTGGCGGCATGGGTGGATATGGCGGTGGCATGTATGGCGGCTATGGAGGTTACGGCGGCGGCATGTACGGGGGGATGTATGGCGGCGGCATGGGCCCCAACGACCCCAACAGCTTAACCAATCGCTTCAGCAATGGAACTGCAGCTACCTTTCAGATGTTGGAGGGTATCGTAACTGCCTTTGGCGGATTCGCCCAAATGCTTGAGAGCACATACATGGCCACACACTCAAGCTTCTTTGGTATGCTCACCTCACACACAGTCTCTCACCCTCATCTTGATATCACGTCACTGACGCGGCCACAGCCATGGTATCAGTCGCCGAGCAGTTCGGCAACCTTCGCGATACTCTGGGCTCCATTCTTGGCATCTTCACACTCATACGCTGGATCCGCACGCTCATCGCCAAAATCACGGGTCGGCCACCCCCAGCAGACGCAACCGCTCTCACACCCGCCGCCTTTGCCCGCTTCGAAGGCCGTCCTGGCCCCGATGGCACCTCGGGTCCCGCCAAGGCTTCTCGTAAACCTCTGTTCTTCTTCCTCGCCGCAGCATTCGGTATCCCCTATCTCATGTCCAAGATGATCCGCACCCTGGCTGCCTCTCAAGAAGAGGAGGAGCGCCGCCTACAGCAACAGGCCCTCGAAGCACAACAACCCGTTGACCCGTCCAAGCTCGAATTCTGTCGCCTCATGTACGACTACCTCCCCCAGGGCCACAACACGTCCATGGAACTCGAAGCACGAAAAGGCGATCTCGTTGCCGTTCTCACAAAACACGATCCCGCAGGCAACCCTAGTGAATGGTGGCAATGCCGTTCTCGCGATGGCCGCCAGGGCTACCTCCCCTCCACCTATCTCGAGGTGCTGAAGCGTCCCGGTCAAGAAGTCAAGGCGATCAAGGCCGCGTCTAGCGACTCTAGCAGAGCAAATTCAATCACGACTGCGTCTGAGAGCCTGCAGGAGGGCAAGAAGGAGTATGCTACCGCTGATGGGATGCAGCGAAGCCATTTTTACTCGTAAAGGGCAAGGGAGTTGGATGAAAAATAAATACCACGCATTGTTACATCTTTTCATTTATGTGTCCAAGGACATGTTTATACGGGCATTTGGGTATGGTACAGGTTTCGCATGTTATAAGGACGTTTGTTCTCACATAGTCTACTGTTGAGCGCGGGCAAGCGTTCATTCATCAGGATAAATACAACGTGTCATAATGCAGAAAGCTAGCCTTGTACCATGTGCTTTGATGCAAATTGATTGTTCAATTCAATTGCATCTACTGCCGATGACGGAAACAAGAGTCACTGTGTTGTCTATGGTATTTAATACCATGTTTTCAAGCCAGCGTTCCGCCCTCCTCATATGCCAAACAATATATGCGATAGGGTCATCGGATTCGTTACATTATCAGTCGTTAGTTATAAGCCACACCATGTAAAAACTTCACCGTAACTCGCACTCCCATCAATTCGCATCCCCCTCACAGCCGTCTCGCCCCTCCAGGCGCGCAATATAGCCCTTAAAGCTCGAGCTCATCTCTACAACGGCCTCCAAGTGGCTCGCCCGTATGGTGACGACTTCATCCCCTTTGGCTTCAGCCTCGCTCTCTGCCAACACCAACGCCGTCTGCATCGCGTTCCGAATCTCCCTCCCATTCAACCTCAGCAATTGAACGCCCGCATGATGGAAGACCTAGTCTCTCGCCGCTGCAGAAACATGAATCTTCCCGTCTGAATCGCGCACAAGTCTCTCGAAGCTATGTGCCCAGATGCGCTCCCGGTTCTCGTTGCTGAGGTTCTTGTAGTGCAGCGCGACATGGATCCGGCTGAGGAACGCGGCGTCGAAAGACTGCACCCGGTTGGTGGCGAGGAACAACACGCCGCGGTAGTATTCGAGTGCGCGGAGGAAGATGGACACCAGGCCGTTGCGGGCAACGTCGCTGGCGGTGCGGTGCTCCAGGTAGACGTCCGCCTCATCGAGGAGGACGAGCGCGCCGTAGCGCTGGCCCAGCGCGAGGAAGTAGGCCAGGTTCTTCTCCACGTCGCCGAGAGAGCTGAGCAGGTCGCCGGATGTAAGGGCCATGAGGGGCCGGTTGGCGAGCTCGGCAATGCATTCTGCCGTTGAGGTTTTGCCAACGCCTGGCTGGCCGTGGAGGAGGAAGATGCGGCCTCCGCCTTTATTCTTGATAAAGTCGTTTCCCCAGGGAGAGAGCTTCTTGTTGACGGAGGCGGCAAAGCGGCTGATCAGGGCTTTGACGGTGCGCTTTATCTTGTCGTATAGTACGAGGTACTTGAATGCTTCTTTGTCCTGTTTGATATCCGAGAGATTGGAGACTTGGAAGATGCCCCAGCGGCGGGAGGCCATTATGAAGCCGGGTATGAGTCCGCTGCAGACGACATAGAAGAGGTCGGTTGTGGGTGTTTCGTCGATGGCAGGGATGGCGGGTTTGAACTCATGGAACATAACTTCTTCAGGGTGATGTTCTCGGTTGGACATGCAATGACGGCAGGCACAACGAGGGGGAGCCTGTGGAAGTCGATTCAAGTCCCATTGGTTCTCTGGAGGTGGTGATCTTGGACGTGTTAATCTTGGTTGGCATTGTAGTTGCTGCTTCATGTCGGGGCAGTATTCGCCAAACCCGGGCGAGTCGCAAATGACACGTCCTGATACAAATCCCTTTTGAATATCCTTGATGTGTATGCCTTCGTCGACGAGCTCGCCGTTGTATTGCTTGGAGGTGGGCTCTTTGAGAAGCCCCCAAAGCAATTTCCCTTCTTCGATGAGCTTCTGGCGCAGGGGCATCCTTGGCTTCTTCCCATCCTGGCCTTGCAGGTCGTCCATCCAATATTCTTCAGGGACCACTGCGAGGCTAGTGATTGGGACTTGACCGGGGCTTCTGGTCTTTCAGCAATGATTCGATTGACGACTTCAATGACCGGTTGTTCGCCTGACCATCCCTGATCTTGAAGAGGACTCTCTTGGCAGTGATCCGACTGTCCAACCTATTTATCAAAGGGCTTGTCGCTTTGGAGGTCTATATTATTGCATCAGTGGAGCCCTTCCGGACGGAATGAAAGGGATGTATGCCCTTACGGTTTACGACTTGGTTTCGCATGTCTAACAGATGGAGTGAGTAGACGACGTCAGGGACTTTGCCGTCTACCCTTAATGTGGAAGGCTTCCCCAATGTAGATTGCATCTCTATCCTCCCAACCTCGTCCGAATTGATGCTGGAGACAGATTCTATATCTTGGATATCAATGCCGGCTGTGGGCATTTTGGAAACGCTAGAGGAGGAAATGAGATGATGAAGCACAACAAGGGGGAAAATGAAGCTCTCCTTCGTTGGGAGAAATGGTGATGGGTTTGGAGGATGAAAATATACGATGGTGAGGGGAAGGAAGTAAGCACTTGAATATGTACTCACGCAAGATAATGCAAAGGCTGTAAACGAATTCACGCCATGCATGTCAAAAGCGGTGCACGACAAGACAGTGTTACGGTCAATTCCATCGCAACTCTGATACCACAGGGGGGCAGGGCGAATTTTACGACTTGAGGCGTTGATGAGGCGTTTTCTGGTAATGTCTGACCCAATCCACTTGAACACGTATACATGCTTCGCGCCTGCTCCCACCCCCATTGGGAGCATTGGGATATAGATTTGCTGATCATGTTGCTCTTGGTTATCAAGTGCGACCTCAAGTCAGACAATCCTGCAGGTAGGCGAGGCATGTCATGTCCGCCCGCATGAAGTATGGCTGGCGACCAGTAGTCGAGGGAATTATTAAACTTGGCTGGTTGTATATAAAGGTGTGTACTCCGTACGTATGTTTGATACAATGGTCAAAGTGAGGCGACACTGGTCTGTTGGTTGGTCCAGCAGCTACATCGGGTAGTCAGTAGAGTCGTCAGATCTCCATCTTGCAGCTCCGTCTTCGTAATCATCGCATGCATCCAGTTACACATGAGTATCACATAGTGTCTCCTAGAAGCAATGCAGCCGAGCCAGCCGAGTAGCTGAGCCATTGGTAGGACATAAGACGCCGGCGAGTCTTGGATATTGACGAAGAAGCATCCATCATGTATTTCGCTAGGCTTCACGTACCGTCGAAGCCATTTGAAGGTGATCTTTTCTGGCCATTGAATTTTTCATGTTGAAATAAAGATGGTTGGAGATAAAAGCACGTGTAGCAGATAAGATCCTGTTGAGTTGGTGTTACGTTGATTAATGATATGTTACTTTATGGCGGTGAGGGTGTTATTCATACTGCCGTCATAAAGGCAGCCAACATTTTCACACATCGTCATGTATGTTACTGACAGGCGGACGAATAGGGTTGGATTTCGGGTGATATGTAATTCACAGCGCCTTTCTCCGTGTCGATAACTTAAGGGAAGTTGTATTCTTCACTCCCACGACGCACCTCCATCTTATCTTCTACAACCTAGCCGTCGATCACCATGACAAAAAGCATGCGGTCGGACATAACGCTTGCGTCCCTCAAGGCTGTTTGTCCTGGAGGTGGATTGAGGCAGATTGGAGGCATTGAGTGCCTGGAGAATCCTTGGGACAGTTCATCGGTTGATCTGCCAAGTAAAGAACAAAATTTTACTCAATGCACCGCACCGCAGTCTCGAAATCAGGAGGTGATGTTGCACCAGACGTAGAAATAGTAAGTTTGGAGGAACCGGAGAGACTGATGACGGGCACCAACTTCGAGGTGACTATCCAGGGCGAGGACAACTGATAGCAACGATGAGGGGGTTGTTCTCTTCTCCCACCCAGTTCAAGAGCACGCTGTTTGAATAGCTAGTGACCAGTACAGTGGTCAGCCTGGCAATAGACAGACTGATTTGAGAGGGATTCTCAAACAGGGGTAGCTGGCAATTGCAGCGAGCAGGCAGGCAGCTAATATCAATCTTAATAAGCCAGAATCGTCGAGCCCCAATCCGATTGGGAAATGAGATGCTGAGGGGGCAAACGATCAACGCCTAGGAAGTCAAAGAGGGTTTGATATATTGAGATACTCAGTCCCGGAGTGCAAACCAGGTCTTGTCACCTTTCTCATACTATGCTTGGTAAACATCGTCTCCTGGCCGAAGCGCGTCATCCTCCATGAGATTAGTTTGGCCCGCGTGTAGTGCCGCCGTTGTTTTCGTTTCGTCACGGTTTGCAGGAATGGGGATGAATCATAACAGCAGTTGGTATTTGTAACAACTGAAGTTGCTCGATTGTGGAACCACGTTCACGACCTAAACAAACCGAGAACCTCGAAACTCAGTTGTGGAGTTCCTCACTGGCTGTCAAAGTGTAAGAACTGACGATAATACGATGTGTTGACTCCGAATATGAAAGATGCTGGGTGAGGAGTAGATATAACCTGAGGCCCTTCGAATTCTGTTGATGTGTGGGAACTGTTCTCTGGCCACTGGTTGCGAAATTTTGTAGGTTGTTAGCAAAAGCGCCCACTCCCATGCTGTAGGTTTGCCTCATCATCAATGCTAATCGATGTGTCCCTTATTCATTGGCCAGCTATGGTCAAACATCATGGAGCTCGATGCATGAATACTTGGCCGGACGATACCTGGGCATGTGGAGTCAAGTCGCTTATTTGTTAGTTGCGCATACGACAGACATGTTCAGTCTTGCTCATGAGGCTGTGCTTCTAGCAGTTGACGCAACATTGCTGGCGTGCGCGAGAAGAAACTTGCAGCAGGTGAGAGTAAGCTTGCAAGCCTTTGTCCAACCATCGTCTTGCGCAATTCCTAGCTTGATGCTCACTTCTCCAATCTTATCACCCTCGATTTTGTATGGAAGAGATAGTGCATTTAGTGACTGCTGAGTCTGCCGTTGTACGTGTGCACCCAATTGCCTCACCAACTCGAGAAATGCAACCATGGCATTATCAAATTTGCGGTGCATGAATGTTAGACCTAATGGCATGTCTCCGGAGCTGTATAGCTCTAAGACATGCTTCTTTGGGGGTGCTTGCATGGCTCTCGAGCCAAGGCGACTCGAAGATGGGCTGGGAACGTCGTATCTAATGATCTTGGACGTGCTCCCCATCGGTTGCGGGTCGTATCCGTGGAATTTGTAGTCAAGCTTTTCAGCCACGGTAACAAGTAGTAGCAGGGCGTGACCCCAGGCTGCGTTGATCTCTGGCCAGTCCACGGGCTTATTAGACAGCCTTCCAAGTCTAAGCCCGTTTATGGTGGCAAAACTTCCATCGTGGCTGATGCAAAACGTGTCGTTATAGACGTTTGACCGCTGAAGCTTTTCGAGCAGCTGGGAGTCATGACTGTATTTGGCGTTAATGCTGTCTCGTTCTGACTGGAAATCGGACATTTTCGCAGCGAAGGCATTCCGCCCCCTCCAAAAAATCTCCTCTTCTTTATCTAGCTGGCGGGATTCTTCTTCAAGGGCTAATATCTCCTCGTCGAGAGCATCCTTTCCCTTCTCCAGCCGTCGTAACTCGTCCATGGCAGCGACTCTATCCTTCTCGGCTTTTTGGAGCCGCTCCTGGCGAGCCTTCATCTCATCTGTACTAGGGCGTTCAGTCTTTACTTGTCTAAGGTGCCGTACATATGCATCACGCTCCTTAGATGCAACCTCTAGCTTTCTTTGCAATCCATCAATTAGCAAATCTGTACATTCGACGCAAACCGGGTGGTCGATATCGGATCTTGCGGAAAGAATTTCAAACAGTCTATTGATTCTATCCATCTCGTCACCTCGTGAAGACTGTTGGCTGGTGGAAATCGATTCTTGCGTGGAGCTTGGTCTTCTGGCCAGCGCCGGGGCAGCTGCAGGTAACTCCTTGACGGGCGGTTGTGGATGGCCAACTTGAGACTCGGTCAAGTAGATAAATGACATAGTTGAGTCCCGTGGGTGGCCGCCATGATATCTTTTGAAGGTTGGTTGGCCCGAACTTTGCGACACCCGATCGTAAAGAGACCTTCTGGTTTGTTCTTGGGATTGCAATACAGGAGGATCGGCTTGGCGTTTCGCAGACTGTTGCGCTGTTGCTGCTGGAGGGCAATAGACAGTCAGCGGTCTGCTGAATGAAGGAAATTCAAGTAACCTTACATATGAGGAGATCATATGCGGCTGGATTGAGGCCCTCGAGGGACCCGTCCAGCTTTAGTGGCTGCCGACACTTTTGGCAGAACATGACGGTGAAATGCGAGCGGCTACAAGACCGCGACGAGCTGGTGACGGTGAGGGCTCGACAGAGACTCTATGTTAGTACTGTGACATAAGGCTAGTCTTTCAAAATGGCGTGCTGAAATGATTGAACGAACGCCAAATACCAGAACATGTGGTGTGGTAGTAAATCTTGAGATGATCATCGACGTTAGGTGTATGGTGGTTCAACAAATAATACAGTGGACTGGCAGGCGATGTTGGTGGCGTCATTGGTCGACTAGGGTGGTCCGTCCGCGGCTGACATGCAAGTACGGAGTAGTTAGTGCCTGCTTAGCTGTTGCTCTGGAGCTTTTGCCACTGGTTCTAGTCTTAAGTTGTTACTACTACGTAGTTGTACGATGGTAGAACAGTATGCTTGGCAAAGGAAATAAGAAGCTTACCACACACAATTCTGAACTGCGAATCCACAGGGATACATTTTCTCGAAATGTCTTCAGGTTTGGTATCCAAATCGTCAAAATCCCATCCCTGCCTTACATCGTAGCCCCAGTAGCTTTTGTATTGTACATGTTATACATTCCACCCTAGTATATTTGATCTGCATCCAGCTTCAGTTATTTCGTTCCCCCTCCTCTTCCGAAAATCGCAGACAGAGTATCCCCAAACGTAGCCTGCCCACCCGCCTTTCTCGCCTCCCTCTCTTCATTTTGCGATGCCCATATCTGCTTGACATTCTTGGCTACGTCAGACTTGGCCTGCAAATCTGCCCTCAGCGCAGCCTCCTCCACCACTCTCTCTTCCTCTGGTAACTTGTCTAGCTTCTCCTTCCACGTTTTCTCCAGTTCTTGTGTTGGCATGACCTTTGTCGCGCTGGCCTTCGGCAGGGCAGGGTCGAATATGGGAATGGGTGTTCCGTCCTTCTTTGCTTGCTCGACGGCGGCTTCGTGTGTGATCATTCTGTCGTACAAGGTGTCGGCGTGCATTTGGATGTCTTCGTCAACCTGGGAAGGCCGGCCGGCTACTGACCCGTATCCCAGGGCTCTGAGGAATCGCTGAGAATTTTTTGGTTAGCTTGCGAAAACCGAAAAAGGGTCGTGAATGAGGAGGGGAAATTTTTGTTCTGGAACGTACGGATTGCAAAGTGTAGCACCTCTCGAACCGCCTTACTTGATTCCGACACATTTGTAGCTGGTCCTCCCAGCTGCCGTTCTTCATACAATTCACCCACTCCTCCTGCTGAATGGCGCAATTCTCTAATGCCGCACGGCCAATTGCAGCTTTGCGCTCTTTGAAACCTTCTAGGACATCCATGAGCTTGTCGTGGTCGCTTGCTGCTTCGGCTTCGATTTGCGCCAACGGCCGGTAGTTCTTCCATAGATGTGCGTATCGGCCATCTTGGTATAAACTCTCTGATGGCACGGCTGATTTATTGTGTTCAGGCTCTGTTTTATCCGCCTTCTGCGCCTCGTCTGTGTGTCGCTCAGGGGTAGCTGAAGTCGAGGTTGGTGACCGATTCGGGGTATATTTTACGGGGGATTCTTTCTCGAGAAATTCGCGAAGCTTGGGGTCGAGTTTGCTTAAGGGATCAGACGGTTTATCCGATCCGAATATGGAAGGAAACCAACCCATCGTGACTTATCAGTGTGGGTTTGTCTGTAGCTTAAAGAGTTTCCATCGTGGTGCTTCGTTGATCTGCAAAAGGTACGAGAAACTTCCACAGTGTACTTTCTATATGACACTGTATAAAGTACTGTATGATGACCCCGACCTTGAATCTGCTAGTCGGCACGCGGAAAGCATTTACGTAGCAATTGGTGGAAATCATACTGATAATTGAGTCTAACAAGTAGTACTGATGTTGAGACAGATGCTGGATCTTTCAGCTCCATGCAACTACTACGTAGGTGCCTTTAGACAGTATATCGAAGGATGAAGCCTGAGCATCCTGCCTGCGCCGTACAGCCACCAACAATCGCGTCGACGGATGCTTGATATACCTCAATACTTTGGACAGCACGTTGAAAATCCAGGAACCGGGCCGATTTGTATGTAATATTGTTGCATTCATGAAAGCCTTTTTTTATTCGTGACTGCAACTACAGGCACAACCATTTTGCCAAACAACTTCCAGAGCCCGACCCTCCAGTGGGAATGACCTATCCCCCCTGATGTATTTCACGCCAAAAATGCCAGAAGAAGAGCCCAATTTAGAACTTGCTGAATTTCTTAACCGCCTTGCCAGTTCGGGGCAGAACACGCAGGACGTTGAAACGAACCTGGAACAAGCATTAGTATACCTACGACTCGCGTGAACTCTGAATGTCGAGCCGTATGATTCCAACGTACAGTCTTAGAAAGAGGTCGGCACTGGCCAACGGTAACCTGATCACCCTCCTCAACACGGAAAGCGGGGGAAACGTGGGCGGCGAGGTTCTTGTGGCGCTTCTCGTAACGAGAGTACTTGGGGATGAAGTGAAGGTACTCTCTTCGGATAATCAGAGTTCGGTGCATCTTGGTGGAAACGACGGTGCCGGTCAGGATACGACCACGAATGGAGACGAGACCGGTGAAAGGGCACTTCTTGTCTATCGGAGAATAGTTAGTGGGCTGTCCTGATGCGTTACAACACATCGCTGTCTCCAATCTCAATTTTTCCTTTCCCTGCGGTTCAAGACGACCTTGCTAGATAACAATTCATCGGGTTCCCCCACTTATCCTCAGATTTTGAGATCGCGAGTTCGACGTTCAGTTCGCACGTACCGATGTAGCTGCCCTCAATGGCAGTCTTGGGAGTACGGAAACCCAGACCAACATCCTTATACCATCGTCGGCCGCCCTTACCCGGCCTGGAGCTCTTGGCCTTGGTCTTGGAGTTGAGGAAGATGTGCGGCTGCTTCTGGAACGCACGCTCCGACTGGACAGTCAACTCGGTGGCCCTGAAAATGAGTTAGCGACCGTGAATAAATATACATATTTCGAGTCGATGCGTCGGATAGGAATCGTGACTGACATCTTGAATGATCGTTCTCCGGAGAGGTGTCGTTACAAGAGGGCTGTCGATGAGGGTGGTAAGGCAAGAAGTTGTTTTGCGCGATGGAGGAGTAGGGCAATCGTTCACACACTAAATTTTGCAGCTGCCTCTCAAACTTAGGGCTTGCAAAATTTGGATTGGCCAGGTAGACGAGAGCCCCACACAGCTCGCACGAGGCACTCACTGCATTACTTCACGTGATCTTTCAATGGAAAGTAGTTTAAGCACGTGATGATTTTTTTTTGGACTTCGGACTGACTCCACCGTGACGGAGAACATCGGGACCCACCCTGTCGAAGCTAGTACTAGTACGGTACCGTTGTCAAGTAAACAAACACGACGAATCGCGATTCATCATTTGGCTGTTCATGATAGCTTCACTTACCACGGCGTCGCGTCGAGCTCCAACGCGTCGTCATAATGGCACCTTCAAAGGAAACCACAGTGCCTTCGACGCGGCGAGTTAGGAAATCTGTTGGGGCCAGCACAGAAATGATGCGCACGGTGGACAAAGAGAATGCGACAGTCGATGTAGCTCGCACACTGGCTGACAATCGCAAGAAGTCAAGGAGCAAGAGTATCGGCCCTGGAGGGCTCGACGCTTTGAAACGCGGAACAGGGAATCGTCGCGCAGTGAGTATGCTACTGGTATATGAGATTTATTTGAAAGTGCGTCTAAGATCTGTGAATTTAGTCTATTGCCGCACCCGCAAAGCCGAGATCGATTCTTAAGCCAACTATATACTCCGTGCAGGAAATTCCACCTCTCAGAAACGAAAGTCAGCGCATGCGACAGTTAAGTGAATCTCGAGACTCAACGAAGTCTTTAGTTTCTTCAAATGATGACAGCACAAATGGCTCCAAGGTGGCGCTCAAAACCGAAGAAGAGCAGCAAGCCGCTGCGCGAGAACGAGATGAGCGAGAGCGAAGAGACGCTCGCCGTAAGTCCTTGGCGAACAGAAGAGTGTCTTTCGCTGCTGAGGCTACGTTGCATACTTTTCACGAGATAGAATATATACAAGACTCGACTACTTCCACTGACTCATCGCGAAGAGCATCGTCAGTCGACGGAGCTGATTTGTCAGGAACAGTAAAATCGCCCGATAGCCAAAGGTCCAACAGAAGAAACTCGGGACTTCCGCCTATGAACTTTCAAAATACCGACGATGATACCCTAACATCAACCATTTATAGTTCTGACTCAGAGCCGCCTGATGCTATAGAAGAGATTGAAGAAGACAGTGGTTCTAGCAGCGACTCAGATGATGGAACTATGATGACAATAGAGACAGAAGAAGTCACTGGAACTACTGTTGCGTCTGAACGATATGGTTCTGACGAAGAATCTTCAACTCTTGATCGCGCTCTCAGGATGGCTGCACAAAGGGCCGGTACTCAACGACTCGATGGCAATGACGATGATAGACTGGATGATGGCGAAGAGATCATCCCATCTTTTGGCTGGGTAAAGAAGAGCAACCCCTCGACTTCTGCTCAAGGCGCGAGTGATTTGACTACTCAACAAGACGAAGGCACAGATATGGACATGGACATGGACATGGATATGACAGGGGCTGTAGGACGAATTATCAAGTCGCATAATACCAGAGAATTCGATAGCCATGGGGATCTGTCTATGGATATTACCCAAGCATTGGGAGGTATCTTGTCGGAAGGAAAAGCCAAGCAAACCGGTCAAGATGACGCCACAATGGAGGCAACAATGGAATTTACAACTGCCGTCGGTGGAATTCATCAACCGCAGAATGTGTACCAGGATGAGTCGGATACGAACGAAGATTTCTCAATGGAATTCACCGCGGCCATGGGGGGCGTCCTCCCGCCAGCAAGCGCATCTAGTGCCGGTGCTGGTCGACGACATACTCTGAATCGACAGGAAGATGCCGGAATGGAAGATGCCACTATGGACATAACCGTTGGAGTTGGTAACATTATTTCCTATAATATGCACGAACACGATCATACCATCCAAGGAGAAGAGACTATGGGTATGGATATAACGACCGCTCTTGGGGGGATTATTTCCAATGGAGATGCTACCTCCCGAACCCTCGGAAAGAGAATAATGGAGGAGGAAGTCAACAAGCCGAATAGCCCAAAGCGAGCGATTATGGCAGCTGTCTCGCAAAGGACACCAACTCGGCGAAGTTCTCGATTATCTGGAATGTCTCAAACTGCATCCCCGAAGGTTAAGCCTGAAAGTCCTGGCCTATCCGCTTTCCGTGGGAAAGGGTTGCGCCGAAGCACTGAGCCGCAGACTCCAGACACTATATCATCGCCGCTCAGGACGCCAACGCCATCACCCCTCAAACTCTCAACACCTAAGGCCCAACCTGCATCTGCGAGGACCCCGGCACATGGAACTAGAAGCAAGAGCCCGCAGTCCACAACGCCTCTGCGTAAGGGAGTTGCCCAGTCGGGCAAGAGCCCGTCGCCATCCAAATCCTCGAAGCCAAGACACTCCTTGTTCCGAGACGATGTAAAAACTGGAGGAAGAACGCCAACTATAGTTTTAACTCCACAAACTCGTCGTTTATCAGGACTTGGGGCTGATAAAAGCGGACTTGGATCACCACAAGTAACCGCATTACTTGACAGACGCAGCTCTATCGGCGAAAGCGCTACGGATTTTGTTCCGGGCAGGCGAGAGGTTGCTTTTGAAGATCCCAAGGCGATGGAGGAAGAGATTGACAAGGAGCGCAAAGTCGAAGAAGAAAAGGAGAGCCGACAAAAGACTCTTGATCGTGAAGTTGACGGACCACAGGAAGACAGAGAGGCTACCTTCAACTTGAGAGAAATGATTAATAGCTTAAGCCCGAAACGAAATGCCTTGAAAGGAAGGAAGAGTCTTCACGTTGGTAGCGCCAAGGGTCTCCTGGGAAAGCGACCTCTAGAATTAGACGATGATGAGAATTCCGAAGAAGATGACGGAGTGAAAAGGCTTAAAGGGCATAATGCCAGTCCTGTCAAAAATGTTAAGCTACAGCAACCCCCGTCTGTAGCTGAAACTACCGGAAGACTCACTAGAGCGACTCGAAAGAGCCTTGAACATGCTGGGAGCAACACAATGCTCTCTTTTTCCTCACCACTCAAGAAAGGCCAAGCCACAACACCACGACATCAAGGGGGTTTTCAAAATCTTCAAGATAATCAAACTATTCATGCAGTCAACTTTCATCAATCCCATGCTGGAGATGCCGAAGAGTTGGAGCGGGATGCCGACAATGAGAGGATACACCTTCAAGACTTCTTGAACATGACATCAATTCGCTTCATGGAACTGACAACAACCAAGCGACGCCTCACAGTTGCTCCCAAAAGTCTTCACGATGGCTCATCTGGCGACGGAGAGGATGACATGTCGCTTGAGCGTTGTGTCATTGCGGGTGCTTGTACTGTTCCTATGCTAGAGCTGTACCAACACTCCTGCAGAGAACTCAAGAACTACATAGCTGAAGGCCGACGCATGGTGAAGGAGATTGAGGATGAGACTTATGAGATCAATCCTCCATTATTCCGCGAGTACATGTGTGCCACGCCAGATGTCAAAGCACTTATGGATAATCAGTTCAAGAACGTCAAGACGCATGCCAGGCTGCTCAGTAAAGCGATGTGGTACGAGTGGAGGATGAAACTGCAAGAGGGCCTCAAAGAAGGCCTCATAAGCATATCCGAAGGTATGGACGCCGATGAACAAATGCTGAAGGAGAGAGAGGAGTTGTTAGCAGCAGTTTTGCCTGGTGCCTTGGAAAGACACGAACAACTAGAAGAAGAGAGTGAAAATCTGGATGAAGCAGCCAAGGAGCTTGCGGACTGTGACCCGGCTGAACTTCAGGCTGCAAGAGACGAGTTGACGGATTTAGAGGCTGATATTGAAGCCAAAAAGAGACTCATTGGGGAGCTTCGGGGCCAACTCGAATCCTCCACATCAGAAGCTGAAGAACTTGCTGCAGAGAAGCAGAGCCTTATGACCAGCATTCAACAATCCGAGAAGATTCGAGAAGCATGTCGTGGCTGGACAGGCAGTGAGGTCGAATCTCTCAAATGTAAGTCCCGCTGTCATGGATGACAACTAGACCTGAACTTCATTTACTGACTTGCAAGTAGCTCATGTGGATGCTCTTGAGGAAGAACATGGCTGGGCTGTGACGGGCCTGTCGGGTACAAGTCTTTCCATGGCTTATAAGCGAGAAATTGAAGTTGTTTTCGACGTCGCCTCTTTCCAGCCGCACCAAAAAAATTCTCGAATCGATTTATGGTATATTGGTGATAATAAGGATGGCCACCTGCAATCAAAGACGGCAGAAAAGGAGTTTTTCTTGCAGTGCATTCGAGATCACATTCGCGCTCTGCCGCAGAGTCGGACAAAGATATTGGATCTGCTGAGTATTGTTCGCAACGCTTGGGACAAGGCGCGCTTTGTGACTCTGCAGCTCCACGCGGTGAACATCACTTTCCCGACGAGCGTGACCAAGACGTCTGATTCGAGCGTTGCCGTAACCAGCTCGCTGCTGTTGACGCCACTTCGAACTAGAGTTGAGACAACGCTGCATCTTCAGGGTCATAGCGCAACCAAGGGAGTTGATGTCGAAATCTCCACGCAAGTCAAAGTTGTCTACGGTGAACACTTCAATGTTAATAAGGTGGGGGAGTTCTTGGCAAACAAGATTGGCGATAAGCTGGGAGACAAGGGGGAAGACTGGAGCGACGTGTTGATTGAACTTCAGCAAAGACTAATAGCGAGAGGCAAAAAGCAAATCTCTAGCACGACGTAGTAATGATTGATGATGGGTTGGTCAGCGGCGAAATATCTGTTGCAGGGATTCAGGAGTTTTTGGGATAGGCATACGCAACGGGGCATTAACATACAAGCGACATACCAATACTACTGTTACTATTATTCTCATCATCACACTTATTGTACCTGTTCATTCGGATGGTCCATTTGCCTCGGTGTGATGCAAGGTTGGAAGCAGTCATGTCTGAGGTGAGAGGCCGACTTGGGGACTTCCTCAGAGCATCGTCTAATCTTATTTGAACATTACGATTCATAAGCCGACCATATGGCTTTGATGCTTTGATAGAGGATTCTGGCTATTGAGGTCTCGGTCAGGACTCAATGAGGAGCAGGCGAGTGGACATTGACATGGTGACAAGTCAAAGAAGCTCTGGCCCAGCTCTGATTGACTCTATGGAGCTCTACACATGTGACCCTACCCGGTACCGGCCTTGTCACTTCCAAACACCAAGAACAACCAACATCCATGATTCATTGTCCATGTTGTTTGCTGCCGCCCCTGCATTTGTGTATCCTTTGTCGGCCCGTGGTCAAAGAACTTACGCAAACGCCAGCTAGACGTTCTACACTCACGCTGAACTGATCTCGAACTTGACAATCATGGCCCAATGCCCCGTGTTTCCAACGGTTGGCCCTGACAAGGCATTCCAAAGCGAGATATGTTCTTGCATGAATATCTGCCCCTTTCTCCTCTACCGCTTCGCATTTCTCTCCCCTCTCCTTGAATATAACTTTACAACATTCACAGGCCGAAGCTATTATGAGTGTCCAGAACCTGGTAATCTCACGCAATTCTATCCTTTGACTTCGCTTGCGTCGTCTTCGCCGTTACATCTGAATACAGCATGACGTGGAACGAAGAAAGCGCCATGTTCGACGAGCTGATACGGATTGATCAGTTTCTCAACAGCCTTCACATGGACAAACCGACAGAGACCCTGCCAAGCCGAAACCTACCAAGTGAAGAAGAAATCAGCCTGGGAGCGTTTCTCCTACAAATTTTATTTGCTGCTGTTATTCGCTTTTCGTGGCTGCTTTGGAGACTCTCCATGTCCATGTCCATATGGATACTGCTTTATTTGCCCTATATCCGGTGCATTTTGAACAATCGCATTCCCTTCTTCGTTGGTCTGACTGCTTGGCTTGTGCTCCTTATGGACCACGATCCTCTCAGTTTCACGACTAGGGGCAGACCAGCTGGAGTCCGGTTTACCTCAGCCGATTTGTATCAACTGTGGTATTGGTTCGCTGCACCAATCTTATGCCGAACTGTATATCATTTCCCACGTCTTCTGAGAGACATACATGCCAAAGCCGCCCAGGATTTCAACGATGCATTCGAGGTCGATATCAGCCTATCGGAATATGTCATCGAGTGCTACAAGCCTACACCTCCGCAGTCAGCTTTTGACCATGCCTTCCGTCTCTTGTTGCGTGAAATCAACCTCGACAGAATCGATGCAAAAATCGACAACCCAGAATATGACTGGAAAAGTCGTACTCTATTGCCACAAATGGACGGTGCTACACATCTGGGCTGGGATAAGTACTCCAAAATCCTGGACAAAAGGAAACAAAGACGGGCTACGTATCACAAAGGGCCTGTGGTTCACCGTTTGCGACTTGGACCCGATGGCCAACCGGCGGCCGATATAGACGGGAAAAGAAGGACACCAAGGGTATTGATTCTTTTGGAGTATTCCCATGCAGATGAGCCGAATTTTCTGGATTTTCTGGAGCTGTCGCTTCAGAAAATGCGTAAGATGGGCACCAAGTTGAATGACCTACCAGTCCCTAGTACGTATGGGAGAGCCTTGATTGACGACTTGGGCGAGCGTTGCCGCCAGAACAACGAATGTATCAAGGGTTCCGGTATATCATCGCCTGATTTGACTGTTGAGGCCCGTCTTGGCAAGGGAGAAAAGTTCTTGTCGTCTACCGAGATTCCGGACGATCGGAAACAAGACACAGCATATGTGCGTGCTTCTGAGGAATTGGAGCTTTCGCCTATTTATGCGGCTAATGATGAGAAAAATGAGCTGACAGCTGATGATTATGGGAAGAAAGAATCTGTAGGCAGCCCTGAAACATCACTTACTACAGATGAAGAGATGCGAAAGGGGCCGATCACGTTGAAGACCGATCATACACAAGAAGAAGATACCATGGCTGCTGCTGGAACAGCCATAGAAGAACACTGGCGTGTCTCTGAGATGGACCCCGACGTGTTGGATGGCTTGCCAAATGATGTCCAGATCTTACCCCTGGCAGAAGGCCAGCTAACACCAAGCCCTACAGAACAGCAACAGCCCATACTCGAGGAAAATCACTCCAAAATCAGGTACGGCTCAGAAGAGACCTTTAGATCTCCCGAAAATGGAGCTGTATCCATCGAGGACCACCAAACGGATCCCGACAGGTTCCAATATACCGCACAGAAACCATTTACCCTTCCCGCAGAACCCGATTTCGCACTCAGGTCTGCTCCCCCTGCGCCCAGGGATGATAGAGATGTAGATGAGGTTATAAAGCCAGGGGAGATACAGATGACCATACAGATACAGCTGCCAGGTACGCCAGAATCTGAGCCAACCGCCGAAAATTTACAAATTACGGTCAACGATGGTTGTGACTCATTCGAAGATGATGCCAATTTTAAATTAAACGCTTCAGCACTAACTGAGATAATATCTCAAAGCAATCCACGGTCTGATTCGAATGACAAAGAGAGAGACGAAGCCTTCTTCCAACTCTGGGAGCCCATTACCCAGGAAGATGGGGACCAAGACATGGAAGACTTCTTGGAGCCTGAATTCCAAGAAGAGAGCGATGAAATGAATATTGATTCTCACGAATATTGCGACATGTTTGATGGGCTATATCCGGATGTGTCTCGGGGCGAAGACTGGTGTCCATATGAAGATACCATAGCCATGGATACGGATGATATGGAGGACCTAGTCATGGATACGGATGATGTGGAGGATCCAAACTTTCAGCAAGACGTCGAAATGATTAATTTTTTTGATGTTTCTAAACTGGAAACTATGTTTTCAAACAGTCGACGAAAAGACCAGCTTCGATTTCCAAGAAATTCAACGCCAATAAGACGAAAAGCTGAAAAGAGAACTGGTGGCAGCATACAACGCAGATTCTGATACAAAGAACGTCATAGGCGCACTGGAAGAAAATGAGAGCGAGGTAGATATATTCTCACATAACTGTTAATACCTATCCGATGGTCCGGTAAGCAATGACGAGGTAGTCGAAGCAGGCCCCTCGACCAATAGCTCAGACCGTCCAGACAATCCCGTTATGTTTCATGGCGACGATACAACAGGAAAGAAGTGTTTTAAGACACACCAGGATGGAGAGGCAGAAACAGACGAGGAGGAAATATGTACCTTGTTCACGAGGAGGCAAGGTTGGCGATATTGCGGCAGAATCTCAGGACCAAATGCCTCCATTTGCTCCACGAACGAGCCGTCGTCTAGACCATGAAAATGAACCTGACCAGGTGTCGCAGCCATTCTCTCAAGAATCCTCGGGTTCTTCGCTTGCACCGAAATCAACTCCGGAACAGAAGAGCCGAGAAAATTCCGTTAAAATCTCCAAAGAACATGGGAATGAATCGTCCTCCACAGAGAATGATACGCCAAAAGAGCCAAAGGATAAGGTGCACAGAGAGCTAGTCGTTCCAGTGGCCATAGGTCGTCCCGTGCTTCCCAGTGGGAGCGTCATCAACTCTACCACATCGCAGGCATAAACACATACACCGGAGCCGGGCCAAGAAGCCCCTGCTCCCCTCAGAATGGGTGGCCTTAATTTCCCAGCCGGCAACCCTATGCACGATGGTTCGCCTACCAACCTATTGCTGATCCGAGCACTTCAACCATTCTATGACCCAAGTCACCAGGACCTTCCGAAACTAGAGGACTAGAAAGAGTGAAGAAGACTTGTATGAAGGCTAAACGCCGGCCTCCCAGACTATTCCACGACAAGACAGGAAGAGCTCCTTCAACGCCGCATGGGACTCGGTCCATGGGTTCCATCGAGAGAGATGGACAGTTGAGATCGTCTGACGGAATGAAAAGTCTGAATCGACTGTCCTCGACCAGTACACAAGCAGCTGAGGGGATGGAGCCGAGGGGATGGGTAATGCGGACCAGAGAAGACCGATAAAAGTGATTCCAATAAAAGAACTTATAGCTAAGTATACAGCGGACACAGAGAGTGAGAGCCCGGCTGATCACACGCGAGGACATTGAAAGGGCCTCAGGGTTGCTTTATGCATAAATACGGCACTATCGGCACTCTATAACGACGCACCTGCATTCATTACATCCATACAGGGCTTCTGAATCTTGTACGCCGTTACCTATGCTTAACCTTGGTCCAGCCATTCGTTCCAGAGCGAGGAGTCGACTTTGCGTCGGTAGACTTATCCGCAACATGTCGAGCATTTGCAGCACTGGCGTCAGTCCCCGGCAAGTCTTCCACTTTCCAGGCATCATCATCTAGAACTTCCCAGTCTGGAGCTGGCGCGTCCCCAATAAGCTTCTTCTTTAGTTTATCTGCCAGCTTCATCGGACTTGGCAGCTTGAAGCTTCGAACCAAATCGGTGCCCTCATAACTACCTAGAAAGTAAAATGTCCCACCATGGGAATATCGACCAAGCCAGTTTCCCTGGCTTTCTTCTTCCACTTCCTCGCCATTCGGCCCCCAGCCCGGGACCTTTACATTAATAGGATTAAAATCATGCGCCTGGGCACTCATAAGGAAGCTGTATAGATTACGTCCCATGTTGCAAATGTCGTCAAAGTTGCTCGAATCACCCACAGACACACCTTGGCAGTAACATAGCCAAGCTATGTTGTACGCTAAGAGAGTAACGCCTTCAAGAAAAAAAGAATAAGTTGACGGATCCTCCTTTAGGAGCTGTGTCAACGACTTGTCGACAAACAGTGGCCTTGGTCTCGGAACCCGTTGAGAGTCCGTTTCCCGAGAGTGAGGTTGTAAAGATGTCCCCGAGAAACTGGGGAATGAGACGTGAGAGTGCTGATATGAATTGTTGAGATTAAAAATGGTCGGCCGAGGGTAATCTCGGTGTGGGAGCGTTATCTCGGCCGGCAGCCTAATAGAGAGATAGTGACACACAAGCATCAAAATATGAGCTACATGAGCAAGAGAGGTGGATATAACCTCTGGAGCGTAGGCTGCAAAATGTCAGTCAAGTTCTTCCTCTTGGTCGGGCAAGACCTCAGGGCCTAATGAGAAGACACGTTTGATTGCACATACAGTCCATAGAAGCCAAATCAATGATAGGCACTCTGCCAAGCTGGTACTCGTATCGACTAGACCCCGCCTTCTTCGTTCTCTTGAGTCCGTATAGTCTGATGGCTTGAGTACAAAGAAACGCTCGAGTATTGGCAGTGGCTTCAGCTCTCTGAGCCCATCGAAACCTGGCCACTTTGGTCGATTTATCCAACTCTTGTTGCTGCATTACTCGACGTTCGGCCAACCCGTTTGAAACGGATGCCAAATCGGACCTTCTGCGAGCCAACGCCGCCTTTCGCGTTCGAATTTCTTCTCTGGCTGCCTGTATCTCTTCCTTTAATTTGTTGGCTGAAGCGAGGATGTGATCTGTCCGATCCTCTTCTAGGCGCTGCATTGCCTTTGACTGCTCGATGTCGCTAAGGCTGTTCTTGCTCGAGTTGGCATGGAATTCATTGACCTGCCCCTGGAGACTTTCGTTCTCCAAAAGAGCTTGCAGACCATTTACGCGAAGCTCATACAAGCTATTGCGAGCATCGACCGCGCAGAGAAATGGTAGCTTTTGGGCATCATGGTCCCGATGGCAGATGTGGCACTCCATTCTGAAGTAGGAGTCCTCGTCTCCCGCCACCTGCTGTGAGAGAGGCCGTCACGGACTAGATAACGGCTGCATTTGGACACGGCTGACGAAGTGCTGAATGAGCAAAAGGTGGAGAGTTTGCCTACTTGCGCGCGCGCGATGCTCATGAGCTGCTGAACGGATGACTGGAATTTTCACTTGAAGCGGTCACGGGATGAGAAGTGAAGGACAAAGGCACGGTGTGCAGGTCAAGTACCGGATGACGCCACAAGGTAGGCACGACCTGGTGTCCTGCGGTGGTGGTGCAGCGGGGAGTTTAGTCGCTCTTTCCAGAGCATTGACAAGATGTTTGCTAGCGATAGTGAGTGCGACCAGCCAATCACAGCCATGCCGTAGTCTTTGAGGCACACCAGTGACACCACCAATGCAGCAAGCAGTCCTTAGACCTTGACAGCATTGTTTGTCCACACTTGAGGAGCCGCCAGTTAACGCCACACGCGACGCGGTCAAAAGATCGCTTTGATTGTGTCCGACCTTACCTGCTCGCGGCTTTGAGCACGTCCATCCTTCTTTGCAGCGGATTTCGCATGGTTCATCCAAGGCCAACCACTTTGAAACATCGTCGCTCTTGAATTGTACCTAGAATTTTCCGAGTACTATCGTTCTTCACCATCGCCATGTCACCACCACCACCCTCACCACCAGGGTCTCCAGCCGATGAGTCCGGCGAATCATCTTTTGAAGACGGAGATGAGCAGGCCGGTGGTGACGATACTGTAACTATATCAGACATGGGACCGCGGGCTCAACCTCCAGCTCAACCTCAGGATAGCCCACCAGAAGCGCGAGAAAGCCATGACTACAGCACGTCTTCTCCAAGTCCACCTCCGGCAGATGTGGCCCCTTTTGACTGGGATTATTTTGAGTCACGATATGAAAAGGCATTACAAGAAGCCGACGAGGAAGAAAAAGAGATTCTCAAAGAAGCTGAAGCTCTTGCCAAAGTAGGTGCTCAATGATTGATAATTTCACCATGCAATAGTTTGTTGATTCTGGGTCGCAGTACTTTCGAGTATGGGCATCTGCAGCGTCAGCGCACGATGATGACCGTGCTGTTAAGAGGCTTCGCACCAGACAGCGATTTGTGAACTTGGCCGAAGAAAAAATGGCCCAGAAACAAAAGCACTGTAAGTCTTCATATGCCAACACGCTTTTAAACTAACCTTGGAGTCAAGATGAAGAAGTCGTCCGCGCATTCGAGAGTGCCCTCGCCCTGCTCAAGTCCACCTGAGTGCTTTCAAAATTAGTGGTGGTTTGGCACACCTTGCTCTTGCCCCACTTCGCCGTCATATGGATGCCATGGTCACGACCTTTTTTTTTGGAAGCGTCGCGTTTGCATCTTGATCCATTGCAACTGCACCTTGTTTTCTCCGCGTCACCACAGACGCATCGAATTTTCCAGGCAGCTATTCCTGCCGATATTTGAAATTTCTCCTTTGGACTACAGAGAATGTAAATGGCAGCTGCCATACCGAGAGTCAAGGCTCGGCATCGTTGCCATTTCTCCCCCCTGTTGCGGTCGGCTTGAGTATTCATAGCAGCATCGATTCTTGCACATTAGAATGGCGGCAGCAGGAACCAGTAATTGGCGGGACCTGGTCGGGAGTTTGCGACTTTCGCATGTGAGTACACACTGGTGCTCGCGAGCGTGCTGGAGTCGCTGATGATTGTAGGACGAATTGTTTGACTTCCATCAGAGCCATTTCTCCGCTGATGCCGTTGCCAGTTTTGGCTCCGACTTTTTAAATCCCACAGAAAGGCAAGAGGTATACGAATCTAATGCAGGGGAGGATTGGAACGGCGACGTTGACGACGGCCTTGGCTACTACGAAGACGGAGTGAAGCGCACTCTCACGGATGAACAGATTGAGATATTCCGGCATTCAGAGTTAAGAGACCTTGAACGTCAACAGGAACACGACAAATTGCCAAAATCAATCGGCACCATGACAGGCCGAAGTCAACTGACTTCAATGGAACACAACAGCACGGCTAACCTTGCAACACGCAGCAGCAAGAAAAAGAAGAAGAAGGCAAGGAGTGAAAAGCAGGATAATCCTAAGCCCGACTTGAGAAAACGCACATGGGACGTTGTGGATGCTGGACTGGATTCTTTGGACTACGATTGAGGAAACCGCCTGACCTACGATGAACGAGTGTCTACTGCCAAGGTACGCGAATGACGCCATTTATTTAATTTGGGCCCAATACAACATGATGAAATTCCTTGTATCGTCATCCTTAGGCAGATCTAGATTGCAGGCCGATGATTTATTTGGACTCTTGTTCAAATGAAGATGGCTGCGCAAATCAAGACATGACGAGTATTTTAATCTTCTCTCTGAGGACTAGTATCCTTCAACTGCGTTACTACACAAACTCATTGGAATCTACATTTAAACTAATTGTTTTATTAGAAACTACTAAATGAAAGCGGGCTCAAACAACAATCGCTGTCGATAAATCTATAATTGGAACGACGTGTCGATGCCCTCATTAAGGATCTGCAGGCAGAGGATTATAGGCTTCATTTTTATAGGAGCAAGAAATTCATGGCATACTCTGATGTGTAATCAGGAATTTATGGATTATGAAGAGATGATGAATGATAATGATAATTTGCTACGTTCCGAGCCATGTAGTGAATAAGTTGATGTTTTTGTAGACCACGCGACCGAGATCAAATCGATTGTTTGCGGCGGTTGTCGCTTAGTGCAAGAAGAGGCGCACTGGCCAATCAAGGGGCGAAGGGCTGTCGAAAATGGGTCCACAGCCGCTGGAACCCGCTGGGGGCCATCCCACCTTGGCTGGTTTTGCCCTCCACCACGAACCACGAACCATCACCCATCTCGCGGCCGTCGAAACGGGAACGCAGGCCAAACCACCGGATCACGTCGACATCGAGGTCTTGCGCCGGGCATCCCTTTCACACAACCCTCGCTCCCTCATCCTCGTACATCGCCGGCGTCGCAACTCGTGCGACACGTCGCGCACAGGCACCATGGCGCGTGTCTACGCAGATGTCAACCAGAATATGCCCCGCAGCTACTGGGACTACGACAGTGTTAACATCAGTGGGTCGACCTCTTCGTTGTTTTACACAGCCCTCTTTCAAACGCTGACATGCGAGAGATACAGGCTGGGGGGTCCTAGAGAACTACGAGGTCGTGAGAAAGATTGGTGCGTCCTCGCTTCCCATTTGCTGTCTCGCGTTACGCTGTCGTCTTGTTAACATTTCGTTTTCCCCCATCTGAACAGGTCGCGGCAAATATTCCGAAGTCTTCGAGGGCATTAACGTTGTCAACTATCAGAAATGCGTCGTCAAAGTGCTCAAGCCCGTTAAAAAGAAGAAGATCAAGCGCGAGATCAAGATTCTGCAGAACTTGGCTGGTGGCCCCAACGTGGTGGCTCTGTTGGACGTCGTTAGAGACTCACAGGTTAGATCTTTTCGCTTTGGTCCCTCCTTTCTTTGATGCAGCAGCTTGTGTCGTAGAGAGAGAATATTGTGGAACTTTGCTGATATGATGGGATTTGCTTCCCTTCGCCATGTGTAGAGCAAGACACCGTCTCTGATTTTCGAGTACGTTAACAACATCGATTTCCGCAGCCTGTATCCCAAGTTCAACGACCTCGATGTGCGGTTCTACATTCACGAATTGTTGAAGGCGTTGGACTTTTGCCACAGCAAGGGAATCATGCACAGAGACGTAAAGCCTCATAACGTTATGATCGATCATGAAAACAGAAAAGTACGTTTTGATGGATTTGTCTGTTTGGCTGAATCGAAGGAAACATAGCCGTGCGGATTCATGTTGGAGGTGGATCATTTGCTAACGCTCTTTTTTCTTGTTTTTGCCTCTAGTTGCGTCTTATTGATTGGGGCTTGGCCGAATTCTATCACCCTGGGACCGAATATAATGTTCGTGTCGCGTCACGCTACTTTAAGGGCCCTGAACTATTGGTCGACTTCCAGGAGTACGACTACAGCCTTGATATGTGGAGTCTGGGGGCCATGTTTGCCTCCATGATCTTCCGCAAAGAGCCCTTCTTTCACGGAAACAGTAACGCTGACCAGCTGGTCAAAATTGCCAAGGTTCTCGGAACCGATGAGCTTTTCGACTACCTTGACAAGTACGAGATTGAGTTGGATTCACAGTACGACGACATCCTCGGCCGGTTCCAAAAGAAACCTTGGCACAGCTTCGTGACGTCCGAGAACCAGCGTTTTGTCTCTAACGAAGCCATCGACTTCCTCGATAAGCTGTTGCGATATGACCACCAAGTAAGTTATTCTCCTTCCGCACGACCTGCAAAGAAACACGCCATGGGCATTCGTTCTAACCATGGCTGGCGCAGGAACGGCTCACCGCAAAGGAGGCTCAAGCGCACCCTTACTTCGATCCAGTCCGGGATCCCGAAGTCTTCAAGCAGAATTTGGCTAACCCGGGTTCTAATGGCACATACAAATCTTGACTCCTCAACCCAAGTCAGCAGTCATAGCTACCACCACAAAAGAGACCTACCTTGGGTCTCGGCTTCTGAAATTTCATGCTCCCGCGACATCTTGTCTAGCTGAGGCGTTTTAAGTCGACCTCGTTATCTCTTTCCTCTGTCTGTCTTCCAAGCCAGGACGTCAATATAAACACGCTTGAAGACATTCGGCTTTTCCTGCTCTGGGGGTTGAAGTCGAAAAATACAACGTAGCCCAGACGTCTCACACCCTGAGGAATCGGACATGAGTACCAATAGCCAACTATTTATACACAACATGCAGCGAGAATAAGAAGCAGAGACATTGCACCAAGGAAGAAATCTACACCAAAGCGGCAGGGCAGGCAGAGGAGTCACGGGTTTCAATTTCATCTGCACCGGCGGTCGAAAGGCGTTAGTGGGGGGAAAAAACAAGAAAAAATGCCAAAAATTGAAATAACACAGCGATGGGGAAGAGATATGGTTTTTCTTTTTTGATTTCCCCCTTTTATTTATTATTTTGCCGTCGTTCTATTTTGGACGTTTGGGCCAGCCCTGGCTTATTTTTTGTGTTTGGTTTCTCGATAGCAGTAGCACATCATAATAATACGGCATTGGAAACAACAATATCCTAGTTGTGATAGTATTGACTAATTGGGTACTACTGCCTCGAAATAATTACTTTAGTTTGCATTGCCTATTCCCGGTACACCATTCCTATGCATTTGTGCTCCTGTAAGACCCAACACTAAAGACAAGTAAAACAAAAATCCCTGTTACAGGAATACCCATCAACGCCACACTCCTTGCCACCACCAGAAGTTGATCCAGACTTTGAGCACCATCCATCCCCGTTGCGTCGTTTCTTCTTTTTCCCGTTCTCCTTTTCTTTTCCCCTACCCTTATCTTTGGGGAGTTTCTCCTCTGGAGGCTGCTTGTCTTTCTGAGGCTTCTCTCCCAAAGGTTTCTGTCGTGTTTGCCTGGCCTCTGCGGCCGATTTCAACTTTTTGTCTTGGGAGACGTTCGTCGGGAGAATTGAGTTCGACTTGGTCGAAGATGATGATTTAGACTTCACCAAATTACCCAGCTCGTCAACCTCGTCGTCTATGTCTTGGTTGTTGCCGTCACCTGAAACCAACGACAGAAGTGAACGTCTCGAGTTTGGCTTTTTAATAGTAGTTGAGGCCTTGGCCCGAGACATTATTTTGGACTCGGCTGGATTCGACACACTTGACTTCGACATGGTTGGCTTCGACACAGGCAATCGGTCTATCCTGGATATTTTTGAAGGATTGTCCACAGAAACATCCGGCAATTTCGTCCTCGACTTGGCAGTTATAGATGATCGACGAATTTCCGCCTCGATCGGTTTTGGCTTTGGCTTCTGCATTGCTTGTTTCGGAGGCGGCGCCCTTTGTCGTGGTTGCAATATGGCTTTCTTGAGCTCTCCCATCGTCCGCCTTTCTATTGTGTGTTGTCTCTTTGGAGGCCTTGGAGTGTTTGTAGGGCTGCGAGTAGGTGACTTTACAAATATGGGAGACTCCAGGAAAATAGGGGTGCATCTCTTTGAAGATCTAGGTACCTTAGGAGAGCGCCCCTCAGAAAATTTCCCCGGAGTTTGATTTGTAATTTCAACCGCCGTAGGTGGCTCTGGCGTCCGAGGTGTAGTGATTTCCTTTGATGATGGATTCGTGTGTGCTAGAGGCTGAACCGGGCCATCTTCGCGTCTTTCCATTCGCTGTGGTGGCTGGAGAACAGGTTCTTCAGGCTTTTCGGACTCATCATCCGGCCGCTGGCAAGAGTCCACTACTTTGGGTACAACTTCCCCGGATGTAGCTGCCGAATCGAGAGGCTCCCCATTACTCGCTAACAACTCTTGTTCTCTAACAACCAGTTTCACTGGCGCGTCGACTGCTTCTATGAGAGGTAAATCTGCCGGGTATTCTGTTGCCGTTGGTGTTGTCGTTGGTGTTGTCGTTGCCGCTGCGCAGGCCTGACCACTGTTCTCATGGGAGTCATCAAGGTCGGAACCGCCTTGTGTGGCAATAGAAGGGGGATGATCAACAGCCTCTCCTGGTTCCAAAATGGGTTTTTTCTCTGATGCATCTCGTATTGTAATTCGAGGGTTGAAAGGCTCTGGAGACGATGGGAGATCAAAGTTTTCTGTCTCGTGCCATACAGGGGCGCTAGCTTTGGCAGACTCGAGAGAGGTTGGAGTGTGACTATTGACATTGTGTTCTGGCGCTGGAGATGGGGTACAACGGTCTGTTCCTTTCAACGGTGATGACTTCTTGATGCTGGGTGGTGGACTCGGTGGTGAAGGGCTCGGTTGGGCACCCCCTGTCACGCTCCGGGGTGGCGACTGCATTATAACGAATCCTCCATCATCGTCCTCCATGGGTGAATCTGAATCTTCTACCAACAAAGCCGGATCTATACAAGCTGGATCAAATGTGTCTGGCTCCATCGAAGTCCGCTCAGTCGTGCCTGACTCTGCTGTAGAAAAATCCACAGGTGCTTCCTCAGTTAAAGCAGGGTCTATTAAAGCTGGATCAATCATATCGGAGCCAAATGGGGGGGGCTCAAGTGATGCATTGTCAAACATATCGAGTTCAGCCGGGGGGCGCTCTCCTAATGCTGGATCAAACACGTTCCCGTCAGAAGGGAAATCGACAAATTCTTGGTCAGTCACTGCCCGTTCATCCTGGACAGGGACGCCATGCTCGACGTGACAGCTGAGCTGTGCTGTTGATGTAACCTCCATGTCGCTAACTTCTGACAATTCCGTGATGCGAACAGGTTCGTCGTCTGCTTCCGGGGATGCAGAGAAGTCAGGGTCAGGCCGCCCTGTCTTTTTTGACGATGACTGAGAAGCTTTCTTGCTAGAGGCTGAGGGCTCAGCTTGAAACTGGCTGCTGAATAGAGATCCACCTTGAAGACAGGCGATGTCTTGTGCCAACTGCCGAGCAACACCATACCATGCGTCCTCGGATATCATCATACGGCCTGACTGTCCACATAGAAGAGCAGTCATGCTATTTTGCAGACCGGGTAGCTGTTGGTGCGATGGCAATCCCTCATACATTTTCTTAGAGGCACTTCTCTTCCGGTTCATTACATAGCCAGGGTACACTGAGTCAAACTTGACAGGGTATTTTCTCGGTCGTCCTCGTTTTTTCTTTACCGGCTGAGATGATGACTGTGGTTGGACTGAGCGGTATGGTACATTAGGTTGTTGCCAGAGCTGTGGTATCGGCTGCTGGGCGATTTGCTGCTGAAATTGGAACATAGGATGTGGAATATATGACTGCTGCAAAGGGTGCCAAGGCTGGTAAGCTGTTTGCTGAGGAAACTGAAACAGAGGTTGGTGGAACAGGGGGTTGAATGGATATTGAAACCCTTGCTGCTGAAATCCGGGTTGAAAGGTGTGAAGTAAAGGCACCTGGCCGGCCGGTTGTTGAGATTGCTGAGACTGCTTCTCGGCGGGACTCTTCGGAGTCTGCTGAGGCATGGCCCCAGGAAGAGGGTATTTTCTAGGCCGGCCTCTCTTTCTTTTCACACCTGGAGCTGTTTCCGTTCGAATTTGTTGTGTTTTTGGCTGTATATTTGGCTGTATCATTGGTGCAGTTGTCATCGTGGGCATGAAGGACATATTCGACATTGTCGGCACAGTAAGAGGTCTTGCCAAGCCAGGTAGTTCTAGTAAGGAGGGCTTGGGTTTCCTTCGATAGGTTCGAGGAGGCCGATACCCAGGAGGGTATTTCCTAGGTCTTCCTCGACCCCGTTTAACCACTGTGCCGTCAGCATTAACATCAGATGCTGGGGCAGCAGTCGCATTTGGAAGTGCCCTGGCGGATTCCGTGGGATCAGTGGTACTACTTGATCCCAACAGTGATGAATACAAGGGTGATTCATCATCGGAGAGTACACAGGCGGAGCTGAAATCTCGATGCTTAGGCCTATGAGGCTGTGGGAGTTTTGATTTGGCACTGGATTGTGTGGGTTGATTGCCGAGAGAAGCATACGAATCCTGGGAATCAGGTATGATTCTCGGTGTTGGCTCTGACGGAGGAGTCGGCTTCGGCTGTGGCACTTCGTCGGTTGTATCTCCTGTGTCTGAAGACACAGGTACTTCTCCTGCTGAGAACACAGCGTCATCAATTGTATCACTCTCCTCCATGGTCTCGACCCAAGACAGGTCCCCTAAAGGCATCATTTGCTTCCTGTTCGAAGACGTATCGTAGTGTTGTTTAGGCACACCTCCTGGTCGTTTATGTGATCCTCCAGGTGCTACTCCCCGATTTCCAACCCACGGGGGAGGGAGAGCCTTGGGCTTTTTAGCTTTCAGCCTCATCTTTGACGGGCCTGATCGTGCTCTAACAGAGGGACGCTGGTCAGGTTCGTTGTCATTAAAGCGGTAATCAGGAGCCCAAATCGAACTGGAACCGTCCTGTGTGGGAAATTCATATCGTTCCTGCGTTTGAGGTAATATGTCCCACGGCCCCAGAGCAAGAGGTGATGCCCCGAACTCGCCCAAAGCTGAGGCATACCGCAAACCTCCGCCGCCATAAAGTCCCGACATCAGGCCTGGGCCCCCCTTTTTTTTTGGGTCGCATCCAGGTATTGCGTCGACATGATCCGGGCTGAATGATTGCTGCAGCCTCTGGAGCTGCATATTGCCTGGTGTGGGTTCGGCATCGTCAGCATCGCTCGTCCAACTTTGGCTCGCGTCGTCCTCCTCCAAGGCGTCACTAGCTCCTTGTTTACGGGAGTAATATTGGCCACTCTCATCGTCGGGGAGATCCTCTAGTAAAACTCCATCGTCGTCATTGTCATATTCATCTTCTTCTTCCTCCTCCTCCTCGTGAGGATCGTCGTCGTCAGTGTCTCCGTTGTGGCTTCTAGGAACGTCTCCCACATCGACCTCATTGCGCATGTTTTCAATGTGCCCGTTATTAACAACTATTTCTCCGGTGGACAGATCAATCTCATCGCCAATCCCTTCAAAGTCGCGACCGTATTTTCTGAAAATATGGGCCATGGTAGCTCGAAATCGATTGTCGGCATAAGCTTTTTCAATAGCAAGCTGGTAGCCGTCATCCTGCTCGACGGAACCTTCGCATTGCTCTGGAGCTGACTCTCCATTATCGTTGTCATCGTCTTCATCATACTCCTCCCATTCCTCATCATCTCCATCCGCGTCGTCATCCCACAATTGAGGATGCTCGCCCAGGCGCCGCCGCTTGACCGGGGGTTCCATGATGGCACACGGTAGTGATTGTGCAACCCATGTGGTGTGTGGTCAGTGTGCCAATGTTCGGGATTAGAGCACAAAAGAACAATTTAACCTCCCGCTATGAGAGTACAGGTTGGTGATGTCAGCGTTGAGTGAAGAGGGTCTGGCGTGTTGGTTCAACGCGTCGTGGAGTCGAATGGCCCCAGCGGCCTTGTACATTTCGACTCTTGACGCCACTTAGTCCAAACTGTTATACTATAATAGCACTGGTACTCCCAAGAAGTACACAACATGGTTTCGTGGTCTAGTTGGTCATGATTTCTCGCTAACACCGAGAAGGTCCCCGGTTCGAGCCCGGGCGAAACCACGCCTTCTTATTTTTACATTTTCGCATTTCTGCTTTGGTCGCAAGGATAGTTGTCCGGCAACCCAACTCTTTTATTTTTGTTTTTATTTTTATTTTTATCTTGCTTTCTTTTTCTTTTTTACCCTCTTAATTCAAAGCCTGAGCTGCGTGCTCGCCTGATTCCTATTCTTCCGTTAGGGTGTCCATGAGGTGGTCTCGTTAGTCAGGCTTTTTCGCTTTTTTAATCTTGTTATTTTGTATAGCCGGCTACCCTATATCTAAGATCCCTGGTACCAGGCTTCGAGCGTTCACATGGAGTTAGATTAGATCTGGGACTCAATATTCAGGACACTTAATATTTGGTGTTCATTGATGTAGATTATTTTCATTGAGACACTTGTCGTCTTATCGGAACGCGTTCTCGTTGCTTGTCAACTGATCTTGCTCCTGAGTAACAAAATGATTATAATGGACCTTTATAGCACTCTTAAGTGTCAGGTCACTGCGTGCAGCGTCCATGACTTGCGCAAGGAAGAAAACACGGCATCTCGAATACACACACGCGTGGCTCGATGCGTCTAGGTATCGTTTGAGTTTATATTTTCTTGTGCAGGCAGGTGAATCTCCTGCGAAAGCCCAAAATGTAAAGGGTGAAACGAAGCGCCATTACCACTGATATATAAGACATGGCGTCAGAGAGCCCTTCCAAACAGATTTGATATCGGAACAGCGCTGTAATGCGAAGCAGATGGATGCTGCAGCGCACCAATTGTCAGATATGCGCATTCCAAGACGCTTGGGATCTACGATTAAAAAGGTCAATATGCTCACGCTATAACGTAGAGAAAAACGAAGTACTGCGCCAAATGACTTTATGGTCGTGCCATACAAATAATCACCATACAAGCTTTGATACGTGGTGAGGTAAAAGATATATTGTATATATCAGCTACGCTCCCCAAAAAGCCAAGGCTATTGTTTGGAGAGACGGGCAGCCTTGAAGCGGCTCATGGGTTCTCCGCCGTCAGCTTCATCAAGTGGCTGAATGACCGACTCGTCCTCTTTCAAGAAGCCACCATCACGGTGAATGAATTTCCTGCGCATTCGCTGATACTCATCGGCGACTTCTTGGTGTGTGATGGAGTCGTCAAACTCGTCTGGGACATTGACATTGGCCGATGTTTCTCGCTCAACCAACTTGTCGACAATGGTTGAGCCCTCTGGCCCAGTAGGGACGACTCGAGGCTGCTGCTGCACCAATTGAGAGGGAACGTCAAAGGGCCCCTTTGGAATTGGGTTGTTCGGAACGTTGTTGTCTCTAGCCTTCTTGAACCTTGACGGCTTTCGAGTCGACTTCGTCTCAGTACTCTTGGTAGACGTGGTTCGCTCAACAACATCACTTAGAGGTTCAACAACCGGCGTTTCCCTCGCTGGCTTTGACATTGGTTTTTCGTCTTCTGGAGCGATATCAAGGTTCTGTGCAAATCTCACACCCTTCTTCCCTTCGCCATCTCCATTCTTCGTCTCCTTGACATTAGACTTCGAAGGCGCGGATTTCGATGCTGATGGTGCTGTTTCGGGCTCTCGTTTGACGATGATGCGGCCGATTCCTTCCGTGTCGTCTTTTGACCCATCGTCCTCCGCTTTCTGCTCCGCCTGCTGGGTAAAACGGGATTTGATGCCTAGTTTCCGTTCCAATTCGAGCATACGCTGACGGTATTCGTCAGTCACGATACGTCCAGTGGACCTCCCAAATCTGTCCTCGTCCTCGTCCTCGTCATCATCAAAATCATCATCACCGTAGTCGAAGCCACTATCATCATCTGAGTCGACGTCTTCAAGTTCCAGCTCGGCTACCACGGCCCCGACTTCGCCCATGCTATATTGCAACATTTGTTGTCTTAGGGCCGCATCATCAGGATCCTCATCTTCCGGGATAATGGGCGTTCCATGACTGATGCTTTCTTGTTCCTTGGCAGTCCTCATTATCCGGTCTACGCGCTTGGCTCTCATCGACATTTCAGCTGGTGGGTTTGAAACCTCGACGTCCTCTGAGAATGACACGGTCTTCTTGACTGACGCCGCAGGATGTGTTTCTGAGGAGACAGGTTGACGTGAAGCTGCGGGTTTCGGTTCTAATGATGCTGGGCTGGGCCTCTTTTCTTTCGATGAGACTATTGATTTTGTTTCTGCTGCTGGCGTTTTTTCTTCAAGGTTGTCAACCCCCGCCTTCTCCAGGGCCTCCTTGACCTTGGGTAGAGCCTCCCCAGGTTGGTTGAGTCGATATGAGACAACATTATCCTCATCGTCCAACTCCTCTATAATTTCTGTGATGGATTGGCCAGTCTCATCTACAGCGTCCGGTTGGTTCACCACAGCAATAGCAGCGTACTTGTCTTCGGCTGCTTCCAACTGCTTCTCCAGACTCGCAACATTCTTACCAACGTAATCGATGCGCCGTTGCAACACGTTGATAATCTGACTCCGAGGCTTCAACTCCTGGATACCGAAAACCTCGTTAATCTCCCTACCGACCAACAGCTCACCATCAAACTCATCATGGATGTGGCGTAAGTCATCCGACGTGTATGGTTCTTCAACAGCTTCAACCTCTTCCTTCAGAGCCTCGTATTCTGCATCCCAGGTTTGCCAATGCTGCAAGGTCTTTTTCAGCTGGCCTATATTTTCTTGGAGCTGCAGACGGCGCTTCTCAACGCTGAGGAAGCTGTCGTTGACGCCAGACATGGTTGTCTTGAAAGGTTCAGTCGGGCCGTATGGAGCTAGAGGCAGCTTAGGGGGAAAAAGTTGCAGACGCCTCAGGGCTGTTGGAAAAGTTGCAGGGGTGGGGCCAGATGCGGCGTGAATGTGGGTGAATGAACGGGTGGGAAAGTGCGCGGTGGTTGAACACCGGTTAATTTGTTGGTGTGTTCGCGCCTGCCTAAAACCGGGTTGGCCTCGACTGTCATCAACTTGGCAAAGTCTCTCACAGACTTGGCTACGAGATTGGCATCATATCTGAGTCGGTGTAACGCCTTTTCGCCCAAGCCATGTTCAGTTATTAATACAGGGCGATCAGCCGAGGGCGTGATTGACAGGCTGTCAAGCCACAGTATTTAGTCTCCATTAGTTGTACGGAGTATTTCAAGGGTCGACACCCGGCCGTCAACTTACACTTTTGACCAGCAAGTCCCAACAAGCTGGCGAGAGCACCCATGCCGTGGTCACGCTGACGTATCAAGATGGCTTCCTCGGAAGAAACCAAGTCGCTTGAGGCTGAATGCCTCTGCGGCTCTATTCACTTTACATTTGATATCCCCGTGGCTTCGCTTCCACTGTCAGTATATCTCTGCCACTGCAGCATCTGCCGTCACGCAACCGGCGCGCCGACTGTTTTCCACTCGGTTCTTCCCAAGAACACAACACCCAATTTTATTTCCCCTTCAACTGAAAGGAACTTGACTTCTTTCAAGCCCGCAGAAGACTGTACCTATGACTTTTGTTCAACATGCGGCTGCCACGTAGCCGGCGTCAGTTTCGACCGCAAGGAATGGACCATCGCGACCTCCATGTTCAAGGACCACGGGCCGGACAAATTCAAAATCACCTCGCACGTGTTTTCCAAATCCGGCCCTGGTAGCGCCATACCAGCTGTAGTAACCAAGATTGATGGCCGAGATATCAAGCACTGGAACCCGCCCGACGATGACCCAAGGGCAAAAGTGAACAAGCCAACAGCTGAGGCCGGACCAACTGGCGAGGACCGCCTCCGAGCCCAGTGCTACTGCGGCGGAGTTTCATTCACATTTGGCCGGCCAAATGACGAGGTTCGCAACGACACATTCATGTCCAAGTATGTGTCTCCCCGCGACCAGAACAAGTGGCTGGCTATATATGACGTTTGCAATGACTGCCGTCTTGCCAACGGCACTCATGTGGCAGGGTGGACTTTTGTGCCACTGATGCTGTGTGACCCGCCCATCAAGACGGACTTGAAGATTGGAACCGCCAGGACGTATGCCTCTTCTCCGGGTGTCTTGCGATCATTCTGTGGAACATGTGGTGCGACTGTCATGTACTCCTGCGCGGCGCGAATGTCTACGGCGGAGAAGGCCGTTGTTGACATTGCAACCGGCATTTTGAGGTGTCCCGAGGGTGTCATGGGCGAGGACTGGTTAACGTGGAGGGCGGCACTAGCGTTTGAGCAGACCGGTGTCCGGTATGACAAGGGATTTCATCAAGCGCTGAGAGATGGAATGAAAGCGTGGTCCGAAGAACAATATGGTGAGGCGTTGACCATGACGATTGAGTAATGAGGTGAGATGACGTGTTTGCTGTGGGTGCACTGGGTAGCAAGGCTGATGACGCGATGTGAAAAGAGCCAAATCTTTGATGAGTTGAATGAAGCAAGCGATGAAATTTGCCGTGTTTTCCAACATGGCTCAATGAAATTGTGGTCGTGTTGGTTGCTCGCCCGTGAGCCACGCTGTGCGTGAGCGCTGAGCGGCATGTGCGAGGTCGGCAGTGCCGCCTTCAATGCTCAAATGTTGCCTTCGGCCCTCCGTATGTAAGCACATGCTCCTGCCAGCCCCGAGAGTATCCGCTGCGTATTCCATTAGTTCAGTATCTCGACTCAGGGATTTACTGTGAAATTACGGAGTGCATGTCGCATATCAAACCC